AAGGGAGAGGAAGGGGAAGGGAGGAGGGATGGAGGTAGGAAAGATGGTAAAATGAGAAGGACATTATTACCTTAAGTACATGTATGAAGACACAAATGGTGTGACTCTACTTTGTATACAATCAGAGACATGAAAAATTGTGCTGTATATGTGTACTATGAATTGAAATGCATTCTGCTGTCATATATAACAAATTAGAATAAATTTAAAATAAAAATAAAGAAAATTGAGAAATTAAAAACAAACAACAACAAAAAAAAACCTTAACACCTCCCAAAAAAACCAAACAACCCAATCAATAAATGGACTAAGGAACTGATCAGACACTTCTCAGAAGAAGATATTCAATCAATCAACAAATTTATGGAAAAATGTTCAACTTCTCTAGTAACTAGAGAAATGCAAATCAAAACTACATTGAGATTTCATCTCACTCCAGTCAGAATGACAATTATCAGGAATACAAATAACAGTAAATATTGGTGAGGATGTGGGGGGAAAGGCACCCCCATATAATGCATGGTGGGACTGCAAATCGGTGCAACTACTATGGAAAGAAGTATGAAGATTTCCCAGAAAACTTGGAATGGAACCACTCTTGACCCAGTCATCCCACTCCTAGATTTATACACAAAGTATTTAAAATCAGCACCCTACAGTGACACAGCCACATCAAGGTTTACAGCAGCTGAACCCACAATAGCCAAACTATGGAACCAACCTAGGAGTCCTTCAACAGATGAATGAATAAAGAAAATGTGGTATATATACACAATGGAATATTAGCCTTAAAGAAGAATGAAATTATGGCATTTGCTAGTATATGAATGGAACTGGAGACTATTATGCTAATTGAAATAAGCCAATCCCCCAAATCCTAAATCTTGGCCACAGCCTGCTTGGGGAGGGAGTAGGTAATTGTCACAGGTGAGGGCTGGTTGAAAATAAAAGCTTGAAATAAACAGGGCTGGGGGTGTGGATCAGTGGTAGAGCATTCGCCTAGCACGTGTGAGGCACTGGGTTTGATCCTCAGCACCACATAAAGATAAACAAAGTCCATCAACAACTAAAATAATATTTAAAAAAGAATAAATAAAGGGCTGGGGTTGTAGCTCAGTGGTAGAGCATTTGCCTAGCATGTGTGAGGTATTGGGTTCAATCCTCAGTACCACATAAAAATAAATAAACCAATAAATAAAGTTATTGTGTCCATTTACAACTAAAAATAAATAAACAAACAAAAAACCAAAAGACAAATGTTTTCTCTGATATGAGAATGCTATTTTACAAAGAGGAAGGGACTAGGGAGAATAGTTACTTTATTTACTTTTTAAAAATTTATTTATTCATTCTAGTTAGGTATATATGACAGCAGAATGTATTTTGATTCATTGTACACAATTGTAGCACAACTTTTTATTTCTCTGTACAGGATGTAGCATCCCACCGTATGTGCAGTCATACATGTACCTAGGGTAACAATGCCCATCTCATTCCACCATCTTTCCTCCCTCCCCTTTACCCAAAGTTCCTCCATTCCCGACCCACACCACTGCATTATGGATCAGCATCCACTTATCAGAGAAAATATTCAGCCTATGGTTTTTTGGGATTGGCTCACTTCACTTGGCATAATATTCTCTAACTCCATCCATTTACCTTCGAATGCCATAATTTTATTCTCTTTTAATGCTAAGTAATATTCCACTGTGCATATGTAACACAGTTTCTTTATCCATTCATCTAAGAATAGTTACTTTAGGTAGAGGGGTGTGAAAGGAGGGGTGGGGGTAGCAGGGTAAGGTTAGTAGAATGACTCAGATATTAATTACCCTATGTACATATAAAACCATATGACTCGTGGGATTTTATATTATGTATACCAGGAGAACGAGAAGTTATATTCCATTATATATGATGTATCAAAGTGCATTCTACTGTCATGTATAACTAATTAAAACAAATATAAAAAATAAAAAAAACACCAAAAACTAATAACCCAATCAATAAATGGGCTAAGGAACTGAACAGAAACTTCACAGATGAAGAAATTCAATCGATCAACAAATATATGAAAGAATGTTCAACATGTTGTGTTAAGAATGCTTTATTTATAGTGAAACACCAAAGGGATTCAGTGAGAAGCTTCTTTAGGAAAACAGGGTGAAATGGAGAAAACAAGTTGTTTGGGGCTTGGCAGGTTATGCCCATCTCTTGGCGACTTCATTTGAACCTAGGGCTATGAGCTAAGGCAGGGCGCCAGCATGATCTGGGCTTTCTCAAACTGGGGAATTTCACCCAGGAGTTCCCAGAAAAGCAAACTCCCTGCCTTATGATGGCTCAAACAAACCCATAATTCATATACAGCTTCCAATGTGAATGCTAACTCATAATAGGCAGGCGGAAGGGAGGAGTGGAGATTCACCAGATTGGACGGTGGGGGGGGGGTGGGAGGGGGGAGAGAAGGGGAGAAGGGAAGAGGAATGGGAATGGGAAAGACAGTAGACTGAATCATACATTACTTTCCTATGTTTGTATATGATGAATACACGACCAGTTTAACTCCATATCATGTACAACCAGAAAAATGGAAAGTTAATACTCCATGTAATGATATGTCAAAATACATTCTACTGTCATGTATAACTAAAAAGAATAAAAAATTAAACAAAAAATCCAATTAAAGTGTTCACAATATCCTAGTCTATTTCAACAATTTTTTAATTGATCATTATGCCTATAGTAGAAATTGTAGGTTGGCTCACCCCATTCCATTCTCTAGGAAGGCCAAGAAAGCTTATAAACTATGTGACTGACTCCCTTGCAGCTACAAGAGTTCTACCTGCAAATAGTCTGAACTTGCAAAAATAGGTTAATTAGGTTCTGGCAAATAGAGGGAAGGTGAAACCAGTTTCTTGTCCCTTTTGCTATTTCTAATTATAAGGGAAGTCATGGCAGTAGCATTGTTCCATTCCTCTTTCTCCAGAAAACTGATTAGTAGTATTGATTCTTAACTGGAGTTTCCTTCTCTCTAAATCATAGGTACATGGAGGTATTGTTGAACTTGGAACTCCATTGAGGCCTCAGAGGTAACAATTACTTACATAGGTCTGTTCAAAAATTTTCTGGGAATTTTAAATGAAGACCCTGACTAGAACCTGCTCCAAGTCTAACCATTTTAAACTTCTAACTCCTTATAATCTTTTCCTGACTAAGATAGTGATTAGTTTCTTCAGTTAGTATTCAGTGTAGAAATGTCTGTGTCTTCCATTTCCTCATACAGCTTATGTAAAATTAGCACACCTATTTTGAAATTCCTGTTTGGAAAGTGTCAACAACTCCCCCACTTTCTATGGAATAAAATCCACACCTCTTATCCTGATGTTTAAATTCTCTCAACTTGCTAAGAAAGCTGATGCTTCCTTTTAAAGAAGTGCTGTTCCCCTAGTTTGGGAGGCTAGCCTGGATAGTGCCAGATCAAGAAGCAATTCAATTCTACAGTTCAAAGCAGTAAAATACCTCCAACACATTTACATACCAGCTATCATCATCTTTAAAGGGAAGTGGTCTGATTCAATACTTTTATTCTTATAAATTTTGAGTCATCTGTTTGACAAAAAAGGCAAAAGCATTCAAAAAGGAAGTTATACAGAGCCTTGAGAAGACATTATCCAGGTCCCAATTTGCTTCAGTCTCTTAAGGAATTTGGGTCATGATCCTAATTCAGATAATCAGATGTAGATTTCCAGTGTGACCAACTACAAAGCCTCAGCTAAAGAATCAGGAAGAAGTCTGGGGTGGAAATATAATCCTGAATAGTAAGTAAGCTGTGCCCTGAGAAGAGGGTGTGCCACTGGCATGAAGCCTGCTGGGGAATGGTAATTGTCAGATTGTGGCCAAAGACAGGTCACTTCCTCCCTGCCATTGGGAAGCTAACCTGATCCTTAGCACCTAAATCCTTAGGGTAGAATTGGGGCTGGTCACAGTTCCCATTCATCTAACGAAGAAAAGTGGTGCATTATCCCTCTCCTTCTTTCTCCTAAAACACATAAAAGAGTTAGAAAAAAGGAGTTCCCAACAAAGCCAGGGGGAAAATTACATACCCCAGTTAAGCAAGTCTGTGACTCAAGTTGTTCAGGGCAGAACCATATTATAAAGATGGAACAGTGCAAAACAGTGGGAAACACGTCCATCCACTTAAAAAACTTAAAAGAGTTTTAACAACAGACCATCAGTTCCAAATACAGACCCTTAATTATTAATCTTTGAGTTCTTTCAGTGTTGTGGAGGGCAGTGCTTCGCATGTTTAATAATGCTTCCTAAAACAAAGAATTTGAAAGTACAATGAAAGGTGAGAATAAAACAAAGACCTATGATGTTTATAAACTATCTCCATTAAAAAAGAGTATATTCTCAGGGCAGGTCAAAGGGTATCATGGACAAACACTTAAATGTGGTGACTTCTTTTGACTGCATATGAACACTGAATCTTTCATAAGATCTCACTACTATATGTACTAACTTATGCTATAGTTTCACATCTTATACTCTTAACCTAAAAAAAGGTAATATTAATAGGGTGACAAAACTTGCATGAACCAGGAGGCCTTCAGTCAGTATAAAAGAAAAAATTATAAAATTACATTGATATGCTTAAGATCTTCAAATACATTAGGTGAAGAGCAAGGTGCAACACAGTGTAATGCTATCATCTGTATAGGAATGAACAAAAATGACAATCATAGGAATTTGAACAGAAATTAAAAATCTGGAAAGACTCACAAGAAATGAGTATCATGGATTTTTTCTATAATAGCTAGATGGGTAGTAAAAGGGACACTGTCCTTTACCCTTATGTACTTTTAAGATTTTGGACTATGTTTATATTAACCATTGAATAAAAAGTAAACATTTTAAAAATAGAAAAAAATTTATCATGAGAATGAAATGACAAAAGCATGAAAACAGAACAAACTATATTCATTACCACACACAGCAAATGGAGTTTTGGGCACTTTATTTAATAAATTTAGGACATGGAGTACTTGGGACTTAAATCTCTGCTATACACCATTGAGACATCCCTGTTAGCATGAAGTAAATGCTTGTTAGGAAATCTGTTTCCACAGCTTCCCTTTAAAGTTCTCAATTATCTTCTCCTTTTTACATTAGGATTATATCTGCAAAACAAGAAATGGTGTTCATTTAGATAAGTGATCCCATTTTCTTTTGCCTTTAAAGTTAAAGGGATTTCCAACTACAGCCACACTTTTGACAAATTAGATGAAAAGGGTAATTTTTGTCCTCCGAATCAGAAAACAAACACATTTTTATTTGTTTTTTTCTCTTGATATTGCTTTGATGAATAGTTAGTAAAAGACAAGTATCACCAATAACAAAAAATTGTGTAAAGCATTACAATAATTAAGGAAATATTAAAAATCTAGTATAGCATCAAAATAGGTCCCACATCTGCCTTTCCTCAAATTAAAGTGCATCATTCACACAAAAGAGCATAATTAACCTAAATATAATTACTTTTTTTTTTTAACAAAGTTTTCTCCTATAGCCATTAAGTAAATACACCTGGGAAACCAGATAGTCTCATTTGATTACTTATGAAAAATCAGTATTGTTTGTCAACATTTTTATCAGCCATTTATAATGTCAAATGTGAAATTAGAGAATCATAAAATTGGCTGCACAATACTTAAAAATATAGTATTTAAGTAAGTTTGGGAAAATGTTACTCTCTGTTAGCCAGCAGGTACCATCTATATAGTATTTTATTAGTTATTGAGAGGCAATTATTATAAGGTTTGTTGGGCCTCCACAAATGGTGAAAATGTGTTAAATCAGATTATATTATAATCACCCATTTTACCTCTCCTAAAGCCTCTCACAAAAACTTGCTTTGAAATCTTAATCCAGCCTATGGCCATATCACCCTGAACTCAAATGATCTCCTCTGAAATCCTAATCCAGTCTTTGTTTTTATTTATGTGCCAATTAAAACTAAACATGTGGTTTGGCATTTACTTCTAAATTCAAACCCATTCATTCATAATTCCTCTCAGAGCTTAAGCAAGTCACAAATTCACCCAGTAGAAACTTCATTTTGCCTAAATGCCCCATACAATTTTTTTCTGTATCTTATTATATAACTTAATCAACCCCAAACCTTGATGGTATATCCAGTAAACATAATTAAGAGGTGAAAATAATAAAAAGAAATATATATGTAAAATAATATTCTTTAGGTGAGGGACTAAGAAGAAACAGATTTTTAACCTCTGTGAGCAAAACTAATTTTTTATACACATCTCTCAAAGGTATATAAGAAAGGTGAATCAATAATTTACCTAAAGAGATCATCAGCCAGAGAGTCTTCTTTTGCTTGTTGTTTTTGTACCTGTCAAAGTTAACAGAATTTCAAACATTTGCTTAGTAGTGAACTTAATGAATTATTATATTTACAGGTTTTTAAATTTTTTTTTTAGTTATCCATGGACACAATATCTTTATTTTGTTTATTTATTTTTATGTGGTGCTGAGGATCAATCCCAGTGCCTCACATGTGCCAGGCAAGAGCTATGCCACTGAACCACAACCCTAGCTCTGTTAACAGGTTTTGGTAAGCTGTCTTTATGATTTCCACATCTGAGATATTATAAATCTTGCCTCTTCAACATCTCTCCCATTCAACAGTTCCTATTTTCACTTCATGCTAAGATTATTATTGCAAAATTGCTAATTAAACAACTTTCTCCAGCCAACTGCTCTGAAAGGCAACCAACATAGATTGCTAGCTTGCTGAACTTTTAAATGTTCATTCCAGCAGAATTCTTTTACTTAATGAAAATTCAGTGCTCTGGGATGGAAGTGGAGAATATTTTGCTAAGTGAAATGAGCCAATCCCAAAGAACCAAAGGCTGAATGTTTTCTCTGATATGCAGATGGTAATTCACAATAAGGGGTGGTGGAATTTTGGACTAGACAGAGAGGAGTGAAGGGAGGGGAGGGGGCATGGGGATAGGGAATGACAGTAGAATGAATCAGATATTATTATCCTATGGGCCTATATGGTTATATGACCTGTATAACATTATGTACAACCAGACAAATGAGAAGTTATACTCCACTTATGTATGAAGTGTTAAAAGACATTCTACTGTCATGTATAACTAATTATAACAAATTTAAAAAATATTTTTAAAAAGGGTGGTGGTGGCTGGTGATGTGGCTCAGTGGTATTCCTGTGTTCAATCCCTACCTAATCCTGTGAGAAGGGAAAAAAGTAGTAGTGGGGCAAACTTAGGGAAGTAAGATACAATATGATATTTATGTATATATGAAGTAGACACACAGCAGAAGAAAACTTGCTTTACAGAGTAAATCCTCCCCAGGTGCTTTCGCTCTAGCAAAAAAAGAAAATCAATGGTATAAATGCTAGAACACAGAAGCACCTCTAATTCCTAATGAAATTCTCCCAATTCCTCCCCCATGCCCAAACCAACCAACCAAACAAAACCCAACTGCAGTAATGAATTGAGTACAATCCTACACCACGTACTAAAAAATACAGCTATGTAAAGAACCAAAAGATTTTCATGCACCTCATTACCAGTGCTGTCCCAACCTATTAAAAAGGGCTATAGAACTGGCCATACCTGAAAATTCTTGCCAAGGTACCAAATTTGGGGAAAAGGTAGCCTGAGAAGGGAAAACACTGCTGGCAGTCTGTTAGAAAGGGTCTACTGTCACAGGAGGTGAAGAAGTAGAACAGATAATGATCAAAGGCATAAGTTCCAGGATTCTTGATAAGTGAGATGACCAACCTAAAATGCTTGGTTATTCTCTTTTGGGATAGAATGCACTCCCAATACAGGCTATTTAATTCAAATCTAAGAAGAGAGCTAGCCTAGCTTTTCAATAAAAGCAGCACACAACTCCGGTTGAGTCCTTCCTTTTTCTGACTCAGTGTTTCCAGGTAACAGAAACTATGTGGGACATGCAATGTGCTTTTGATTATTTCACTGATAGGCACCAGGGCAATTCTGTTGACTAAGGGTATGCTAGGAGGGTTATGAATAATTTTGATTACACTCAATTTTTGCCTTACCCACTGGCTTTAGAATGTAATACCCAAATAAAACCGTACAAGATGCTTTGCTTAGCAAAGAGAATGTCTGTTTAAAACATTTCATTTTGAACAACTAAAGATGAAAGAAAATAATAAAGCTACTTCACATAATAAAGAGAACCAAAAAAAAAAAAAAAAAAAAAAAGAGAGATATGGGAACAGAAAATGCAAAAGATAGGTTAAAAACCCAGTCTGTAAGAAATAATAATCCAAAACAATAATAATAAAATTAATAATATTAAAAGCAATAAAATACGAACAAAAAATTAGATGACCAAAAAGAAACAATGAAAAGGGAAATGTGAAGTAAACAAACTGAGGACCATAATAACATCCTTTAATAAATGAAGCAAAAATAGTTAATACTATTTCCACAGTTACAAATACTTTATATAGTTCAAGTTTCCCTGATGGAAAATTATTAGAATCAGAAGTGTTTCAGATTGGGGATTTTTTTTTAAATTTCAGGATATCTGTATATACAAAATGAGATTTTCATGGGGCTAGAATGCATGTCTAAACATGAAATTCATTTGTTTTAATATTTCATATAAATCTGACACATAGACTGAAGGTAATTTTATAAAATATTTGAAATAATTTTGAGCATGAAACAAAATTTCATGGTACAGAATCTTCCATGCGTAGTACCATGACAGCCCTCAAAAAGTTTCAGATTTTGGAGTATTCTAGAATTTGGGTTAGGGATGGTCCACTCATCATATCTTTAACATTTAATCCTTACAAGCCTATGAAATAGAGGTACTATTATTATTTTCATTCTACACAGGAGAAAAAAAGAATAAAGTTAAGTAATCTGTTCAATGTCACACAGATGATAAAGAACAGAATAGATACAACTGAAAACTGAAATCTGAATTTTGTGGAGGGGTACCAGGAATTGAACTCAGGGGTGCTTAACTACTGAGCCACATCCCTAGTTTTTTTTTTTTTTTTGTATTTTATTTTGAGGCAAGATCTCATTGAGTTGCTTAGGGCCTCGCTAAGTTGCTGAGGCTGGCTTTGAATTCATGATTCTTCTGCCTCAGCCTTCTGACCTGTTGGGATTACAGGCACGTGCTAATGGGCCTGGCTTGAAATCTGAATTTTTGACACGTCAAGGAGGTTAAGAACCACTATGAATATGTGTGAAGAAACAGATGTGGTGGGCAAAGATGATTCAATAAAAGGATTGCTATTCCTTAAATGCAGCGAGCTCAGCAAATAATAGGACTGCCATAAAGTGAGGGAGAGGAGGTGTGGTAAGTTCAAATAATGTCCTTACTCTTCACAGTAGGGAGACAACCAATAGTATGTAAAATTAAAATATATATTTAAAACCCAAACTCATTCTAGTCTCACAGTGTTTTTCAAATATTCCCCTTTAGTTTCAGAGGTATCTCAGGAAATAAAATGTCTTGGAGGAAAGAAACATTTACACCAACTCAGCAATACTTTGAATTTAACTTGCTTCTATGGATCTCTCCTTCCTGTTACCAGCATGTCTCTGTCTTCCACTCTTCCTCAATAAAGAGATACTTGGAATGTTATTCACTTAAAGCTTAAAGAGTTAATTCCTGAGCTTTAGGTTTTAATTTCTTCACTCTTTTGTATACTGCTATAATTCTTAAGAATGCACAGCTATAAAATAATAAAGCTAATTATTATTTCAAAAGAGAAGAGTGGATATGACTTCCATTCTTTAATTTTTGACAATAAATCTTGTGAGTGACCTTCCTAATATCTTTACTTTTATGAGAAACCTTCCTAACCCTTATATAAAATAACTTCAGTATTTCTTGGCCTTTGTCTATAATGAATGTAATATCTGTTCTGGTTAGTCAAATATGTGATATGTCTTCTAGAGGACATCATATTAAATGGATTTTTGAAAATAGGAGATGGAAAAGGAGATATCTCTGTCACATAGTGACCTGGTACTGCAATACTTCCAGGGATGGTATAGCCCTCTTCCACCAAAAAAAAAAAAAAAAAAAAAATCCCTGATTTAAAAAATGTGTTTTTAAAAATGAATCACTAAAGGTACACTATGCCCACAATAAAGCAAGAAAAGGAACCCTGACAGTTAACAAGTACTAGAGTCAGCTTTTGCCCTCATCTGTAAACCATGAAAAATTTGATCTCATTTGATATCTGCATGGGGTGTGAGTGACATGAAAGATAACCTAAGGGACTTTACAGATCCCAGTACTATAGGGAGAAAGAGAAATAATAGGAGATGGTAAAAAACTTGCCTATTTTGACTTTGGCACTTGGTGAAAGAAAGAATGAAAATCTCACTTAAAGTATTTTTTTTAATAACACGTTTATTTTATTTATTTATTTTTAACCCACGGCCTCATGCATGCTAGATGCGCACTCTACCGCTGAGCCACAACCCTAACCCTCACTTGAAGTTTATAATGACAAGTTGGCTGTCACTTGTTCTACTGTAAATATATACAAACACTTGAGTGACCTAAAACAATCACAAGAAGAGATTTTAACTTAAAAGTTAGGACTAGGGATGTAGCTTAGCATAGAGTGCTTGCCTAGCACGCAGGATATCCTGAGTTTGATCCCCAGCACTCCAAAAAAAAAAAAAAAGTGTGTGTGTGGGGGGGTGGGGGGTGGGGGGGGCGCGGGTCTGGAAGACATAAGCATTATCTTTGTCCTAAATCTGAATTTAGGATTCAGAAAATCCTACAGATTACATTTTGAGGAAAATGATCTGTTCATATACAAAGATCACAAAGGATATACTCAGAAATAAAATACCCTATGAGCAAAAAAACAGATCAACAAACACTTTGGTATCATTAGGCAAACACATCAGCAGGGAATAAGATTTAGAAAAGAAAGAAACATAGTTCTAATAATGAAAAAAATGAAATAGACTGAATTTAAAACTCAATGAATGGGTGCAATACTAACCAGAGCTAAAGACAAAAATAGCAAACAGGAAGAAAATCTGAATAAATTATCAAAATATTATCCAGAGAAACAAACAGAGAAAGACAGTGAGAAAATTTAACTTATTTCAAATTAAAGTTCTAGAAAGAGATATGGATAAAGGAAAGGGTAATGTTCAAGAAAATAATGAGAAAATTGCAGAACTGTTGAAACACAATTTCTAGATATAAAAAGGACATTTCATTTATATATTACATCATTGATATATATAATTTTCCATATGAATATATGGCCAACCTTTTAATTATTATTCTTTAGTTTCCTTTAAGATTTTTGTGACTTAAGTCTTTTATCCCCCTTTACATTATATTTTCATCTGTTTAAGTCCTACTTTTTTTAAGCAATAAAAATAAATCTAGGGGCTGGAGTTGTAGCTCTGTGGTAGAGGGCTTGCACAGCACATGTGAGGCACTGGGTTCAATCCTTAGCACCACATAAAAATAAATAAAGGCATTGTTTCCATATACAACTAAAGAAATTATATAAAAATAAATACAGAATTCCCTTAAGGAAATGTCACAGATTAATATTAATACCCTGTATTCTAGAAATACATTTTTGAATGACCTTAGGTCACTTAAGTTTGGTTTTAAGAAGAATCTGCTCTAAGAAAACCGCAAAGGACTCGAAATGCAAGTCAAAAAGTTTTGAGGCCTTATTTTGTACAAACCTCCATTTCCTGCTTAAGCCACTCTTCTAATTCTGTATTCTTTCGAGCATGGTGAGCTATCAGATCTGATCCTCCAATGATGTGTGGAAGCTTTCCTGCTCCAGGAAATATGACCTGTTAATAATAGCAGTGAGGTTAAACATGTTAGTAAATTAAGATGACTATAAAAAAAAAGATTAAAAAGCAAAGATTACACAACTTTCAAAGATGTTAAGCTCCTACAAATGAGACAAAGGAAACTGTTATTGGACTCATCTGTTTTTATTCTCTAGTTATTTCTCTACCATATCAAGATTTAGACATATCACTGGAATTTATGTATTTAAAAGTTTTAGTTTGTAGTTTTTATTTACAAATGGCCTTAGGTTATCATCTAGCAATTGAAGCAACCAAAGTGAACACACACTATAATTTAAAGCACTGTATTTTGTTTCAAAGATTTCAAGGTTTACACCCTTTCTAACACTGATTAAAATTTTAAGTCTTTTCAAAACTTTTCAGTTTATAGTTCCTTATCAGGGCATTTTGGAGATGGAAACAATTTATACTTTCAGTTGACATTTTAGTTGTTGAAAAACAAAGGGGTAAAAAAAAATTCCTATGTAAACTTCATATCAAGTACACTGATATTATCGTACTTTAGGAAATAAGTAATAAATCCTTAGTATTTATGGGACATGCCAGGTAAATAGCAACCTATAAAGAATTCAGTCTTGATAAAATCTTTGTCATTTTAGGTGTTCTATATATTAATTATTAGTTTAGTCCTTCTTATTTTTTTTTAAAGTGGGAGAAACCAGCATCATTTTTCAACATACTGTTTTTATTACTATTTAATGCCACTGGTATTTCTAAAAACATTTCAAACATTGCCCTCTTGTGACACAGTTAAAGAAACACCTACCTTCTTGAATTTCTTGAAATTCTTTATTTGACCATAATCATAATTTACCACACATGGATCTCTGCAAGTGGAATTATTAACCACCAATGATCTAAATTCAGTCAGTAACACCTTTCTTGGAAGCATCTCACTATTGTCCTGAAGGTCATCACTGTTCTTAAATGGGGTTAAAATGGATAAATTAGAAGAAATCAGAAGGAAAAAGAAAATTATTTGTTATTTGGGTATATACAGAAAAAAGTTAAAATACTTGAAAAACAAAACAGTAAGAAGGGTTTATTTCTTGTACCTGAATTTTGTATTTGAAATCAAAACACCTATTTCAAAACCAGAAAATGATTCTATAACTTTGAAAACATTCTATATGTTCTCATCTATAAACTGTTGAAGTCTCAATAGTTTGTTATTTTTTTATATCTCAAAAAAATTAATCATTAATTCTGAATATAATATCTTATTAAATGAGGTGTTTTTTTATTCTAGGTCAATAGTTACTAAATCTGAAGATTTTTCCTGTTATCATTCAATTGTTCAGTGGTCAGCATTGTTAGAGCTGCTGAAGGCTAACCATCTTAATTCTTTTAATTGCTGAACTATATAATTCATATGAAAGTTGCCACCATGTCTAAGATAGTCACAAACAGGAAGAAAAGAAAAACGGGAAAAGCCAGAAGAAAAGGATCATCTGATAGTGATAGAATATAAGAAGGACCTCAATTAAATAAAAATGCCCTAATTTTTTTGGAATTTATAAATATTATATTTATAAATCTGTTATTGAACTTGATATAACAACAACCCCTCTAGAAAAGCATTAACCTCATCTTACAAACAAAGGACCTGAGGTTCATAAATGTGAAAATGGCTTGTGCAAGGTCACTTATCTCTGCAGTAGAGAAGAGAATTACACCCAGGCTTTTCTTTGCACTACACTATATCATGATTATAGTATGATTTATCCATTTCCAGAGGAGGCACAATCATGAAATAGTCCAGAATTTAAAATTCAAAGCAATTTAATCCTAAGAATATAACTAATAAGATTGCTGATCCTTGTAAGTCAAATTTTCATGAAAATTACATCAAATATAAAAGAATTTCCTTACAGATACCTCTTCTTTAGTTGACCATAGTGATTCTTTGAGCTCACATTTCTTCCCCATTTTGTTTTCTTGCTAAAAATTAAAATAAAAAATAGTGTTCACAGAAGTTATTAATAAAATTTCTAAAAACTTTGAGATATTCATACTGACCCAGCCATATGACCTTCAAGTATATTTCCTAAATTATGAGATAAAAATAAAAATAAATGTAAGGATATTTTAGTATGAATATTGAAGCAAAGAACTGGAAGGTATCAAAATTCATATAAATTATGTACGTTGAGAATAGTCAACAATAGGAACATAATATAAATTAATAAAACTGCATTAACAGTTGATTCAAACTATACAAAATACCAACATATTTTATGGTTGTCTGTGGATGGTAGGATAACCAACAAATCATTTCCTTTTATTGATGAGCTTTCATAAATTCAAATTAATTCTTAAAATGATAAAAAAGAAAAAATTAAAAATAACTTCCCATTGAGTAAGGTTGGTTAACGGCATTAATGTTAATTTCCTGGTGTGATACTATACTGTAGTTGGTTAAGCTGTCCAAATAATTAGGGAAAATGGGATGAGGTTATATGGGATCTCTTTATATCATTACTTACAACTGCAAATGAATTAGCAATTAAATAAAGAGTTTTTAAAAATAACTTACACCAAAAGCAAAAACAGTTTTGTACCTAGATTTTTATTAAAATAAATTTAGTGCTGGAATGTGATGATTTAACTTTTAATATGTCCTAAAGTGTGTTATCATCAAATATCTATTTGTTCTCCAAAGTTCTTGTACTATATTTTTCATTTAGAATGTCATGAATTTTGAAACAGTAAAATAAGATAAAAGAAATTATGTTGTAGGATCATAAGCAAAATAGAATAATCATGTTGCCTGATATTATATATCATATAAACCTTACATAGTAAATGAAAGTTCTTTTCTGGTCCAGAAAAGACTGTTTAGTGGTACCCATGTCAAGAGTGCATAGTGCTTTGTTCTTTTCTTTCTCTGTCTGTGCTCTAATGACTAATGCCTGGGGTGGGTAACAATAGCTCTGGGACAATGTGCAGTCAATAATGAAACATCCATTAGTGGTCAGACAGGATGGAGCAAAGAATTCTGTGATTAACTAAAACCACAACCATTTCCACACAGATCTGTGTGCAGTGTGATCTGGGGACCAATTTGGCACAAAATTTAAGGAAAAGGAAATTTAAGGAAAAGGAAAACAAGTCCCCCTCCCCCTCCCCCCGCCCCCCCCCAAAAAAAAAAGACTAAAAAAAGAAAACATCAAAGAAAATCAGAAATAAACACAGGAGGAAAGGTTCTGTAAGGAAAAGTAGTTTACAAAGATGTGGTCAAAATAATATAAATAGGATCTTTCTTAAGACTAAATGTTTATAATATTAAGCAACCTCATTAAGTAGATGAGTTCCAGGATTGTAAAAACGGTTGTGACCCTTGTCTTCTTTGCCCATTATATATTTTTAACAGTGACCAGGATGTTTGCAGTGTGATTAAGAGGGAAGGGGAAGAACGTTGCTCTTGTGGGACAGGACTGGTAATTTCAACAGTGGATTGTTATAAAGCAAGGCTGAGCCTCAATTCTTGTCTCTCCCACATCAACCTATCTACATTTCTACTTTTCTACCATGTTATGACACGGGACTAAGCTCTTACCAGATGTAGTTATTCAACCTTGGACATCTAACCTCTGAAACCATAAGCTAAATAAGCTTCTTTCATTTATAAATTACTCACTCAAGAATTCTACTATAGTCAGGGAAAATGAACTAAAACACCCAGAAGGTAAACTTGATGTCTGGAAAGTAGAATGTCAGAGCCAAAAGACAAACAGCTAGGAAAGGAGTTTGATTATCTACTTCTGGGCTTCTTATATAAGTAAAACAAACACAAACAACCTCCCCCTCCCCCAAAATAACCCTATCTTATTTAAGCCACTACTTTTAGAATTTTAAAAAATATCAAAAGATATCTCAATTAGTGGGGCTGGTGTTGTGGCTCAGTGGTAGAGTGCTTGCCTAGTTCACATGAGGACCTGGGTTCCATCCTCAGCATTACATAAAGATAGATAAAATAAAGGTATTGTGTCCATCTACAACTTGAAAAAAAAAGAATAAAAAAAAATAATTCTCAGGATTTTAGCTCAGTGGTAGAGTGATTGCTTAGCATGTGTGAAGCACTGGATTTGATTCTCAGCACTGCATATAAATAAATAAATAAATAAATGTCCATCAACAACAACAACTATATATATATATATATATATATATATATATATATATTTTTTTTTTTTTTTTTTAAAGAATTCTCAATTAACACAAGAAGGAAATTTTTTTTTCTGGGCCGGAAGTCAGATGTACTGAATCAGGATCTGTAAGATTTTTGGTCTGGGAATCATATTTTTAAAAAGCTTACCAGGTGACTCTAATGCACTTAGTCCGCAAAAGGACATTTAGAATTCACATTTTGGTTTCATCAGTTCTGTGTTCTGATCTAATGAGTTAATCAGTACAGATAGTTGGTCAACTTACTGATACACGAAATAGAAAATAATATGAAGAGCTTTCTTAGCTAAAGTAAGATAAATTACCAACATTCATGAAAACTAGAAAAGCACATTAAAGAACAAAATTTATAACAAACATCCTAGTGATGTCATACATGTTTTAATCTAAAAATTTACTTAGTAGATAAAGTGCTCTGTTCTACTAACTTTCTTCTACTTTCTGTGCTGCTTATTCTTTTAAAACATCCACTAACTTACCAGCATGGCTGAAAATCTTTTATAACAGTATAGCCTAATTTGGAAGTCTACCAAAACAATCATGTATAATAGTTTTATTTGTTTTTATTTATTTTATCCTGCTGCATAGCCACTGTATTTTTACACTTATCTTACTGAACAGCAAATTCTTACACTTCATACTGGGTGTTCAAAACATTAATTTCTTTTTCAAGTAGACACAATAGCTGCTCATACTGTTAATACAAAATCTAGAGTTGTTTTTAATATTCTAAGTTACTATTGGCAATAGCTTTCATTTAAAAATGTTACTTACAGATATTTTGCTGCTTTCTGGTATTGTTTCATTATTAAAATTATTATTTGTTTCTATATCCATCCTTAACTTCTTTCTTATATTGAACTCTTCCTCTTGTTTTTCAACTTTTACTTCACTTTCTAACTCTGGTTTCATGCTCTTGAATAACTGTTTTGATATTTCATCTTCTATGGCCAAATCATCAATTTCTTTTCTTTTTTTAATTGATCTAAGGTTTTCTGTAGAAAGAGATTTATCAGAAGAATTTTTCACACTGGATTCTAAATCTTCATCATCTGTAAATAAGTTATTTGATTTTTTGTCCACAAGCTCATTCTGAGATAGATTCTCCGCCTCATTTTTCCATAGTGAGAGTGTAGCAGGTTGTGTTTGTTCTAAAAGAGAACAAGACATTTCTATTCTTGCTGATTTGGATGAAGACATTTCTTGATTTTCTTCATCTCTTTCCCTTAGATTTAAAAAAAAAAAGAGAGAACAAAACCAAAAGATTAACACAGCTACATAATTTTTCAAATTTGGCACTATTCACCACTCACTCCATTTAATTCACAATGTAATCCTGATTTTATTAACAATACCACTAGAAATCAACAAATAAGCATTTGAAAATAGTACCAAATTCACATACATTCTGTTTTGATAGGAATTACAGGCCCTATAAATTATCCACCCTAAAGCAATGGAGAATTCTATCTTCTTTGCTGAAGAAGAGTCAGATGTTATATCAAAGTGAAAGAAAAGGGAGATAAATGCACAAAGGACCTACTGCCAGGAGATCACAGCTTAATTTTATAATGTAGGGAACTTGTGGGCAGGGAAAAATTAAATTGGGTATATATTCCTATGAGTTAATGGGAGGTGTATTCAAAATAATAAACAAGAGTGGCTAAATCTAGAACATGGCATAAACTGTATACTGCATATACTATGTGAATCTATCACTGAGAGTATTCTATACAATACTATATTACTCACTCAATAAATACTGAAAACTTTGTGCATGCAAATTGTATTGAAGTCCACAGAAGACACAGACTTGAGTATCTACTATCTAGAAGCTTAATGAATTTATAGTGTATTAAAGAGTTAAAGGTGATGTACTATTAACAGTAATGTAAGGATACTGGGCACACAGATTATTCAAGAGGTCTTTGTAGTAACTTAGGTGATCAGAGTTTGAAGGAGGGAGCTGACAACACAAACAGATGGCAAGGGAAGGACTGATAAGCCACTGAAAATAAGGATCAACAATATTCATTTGGGAAGACAGAAGAGAAATACCAAAGATTATATAATAAGGTAAAATTTTATTTACCTTGTGAGAGAGATTATCAAGGGAAAAAAAGCAAAAAAGGTGATTTTGGAATGCAGGTGTGGGTAAACTCTTCTTCAAAAGAAGTGCAGCAAACAAAACAGCAGATAAGCTAAGGTACAGAAGAAGAAAGATGAAGAAGAATCTGTCTAATGGTCTTAATAAAGGAAGAAATTAGGGCACTTCTCAGAGCGAAGGAGCTAGGGGGCCAGAGCTTTCCAAAGGAGCACACTAGAGCATAACAGACTCAAATACTCTACTACAGTAATATAAAAAATGCTAATTTTTTTCAGAGGCACAAGAAAAAAATGTTATTAAAAATATACCTTTTTTTGGCACATGGTTGAAAGTAGTTTTTGATGGAGTTTGTCTGCTGCTGTTGAGAAGACCAATCTCTACTTTTATTTACACCTAGGAATTTGGTTGGTGAAAGCTGATAGTTTGGGACTTTTGTCCTAACCAAAGTGTTTAATACTATATTGTTATTATTGGAGCTTGTTTTGGAAGGTTCCTGTACAGTGAATGTTTCTTGTGAAAGCATTCTGACTTCTTGTTCCATCTTGGAGATACTTATTTCTTTTGGCCTTTCATTCAAAAACATACTGTGGAAAAACAAAAGAACAGAAGGTAAAGTTCATAGCAACTTTTATGTAGAAACAAAGATCTTTAAATAGTTCTACTGTAATATAACTTTATAAGATTATATTTAGATAATAATTTGGGCAATATATTATCCCAAGAAAACAGCTCCTCTGTCATCTAAGTGCCTTGAAAAAGGTTGGTATCTTACTCTTCTTCATCCCCTATAACACATATATAGAGGCATATTCTACCAAAACGACTGTCAAGTAAACAAGGAATATCAACCTAGTATCCTATTATAAATGAAACTAGGTGATAATACCAGGTAATTTTTATTTTGTTGAGAAATTTTTTTTAGTATTTTTATGTAAAAGTACCTTCATAAAAACTGGAAAATTATAATAAACTCCTATTATTCCTATTATTATAGTGTCACATATAATAGGGTATTTAGATCACTTTAGATGAACTGATATGCATCTATCCAACCTTTAAAAAGTTAAATCTGGACAGAATATAAAACATGAGGGTAGTAAAAACTAAAATAAATATGATCTAATATAGTGATATCATTAAGTACATTAATATAAATACTTCAATATGGAATATTTGAAATACACCATTGTAAATGAAAAATAGTATAGAATACAAAATAGCTAATCCCATCCATTAAAAAACAAAACCAAACCTACAATCCCTCTTCAAATAACCACTGACATGGACAAATATTAATAACTTCATGGACAAATATTAACTATTCAGATAGTTAGCAGACCCTATCAAGTATCTAAAAAATTAAAAGTAATATTTAACTATACAAAATCATAATACAAGACAGATATACACATGGTACCATCTCCATCTTTTTAGGGGATACATTCCAAGACATTTCTATAAATGCATGAAACCAATGGTAGTACCAAACTATATAAACATTTTTCCTATACATATACAACTAAGATAATTTACTTTATAAATTAGATAAAGAGACTAAAAACTAGTAATATAATTTATGACAGCAGACTATGATAAAAGTTACACAAATAGAGTGTCTCTCAAAATACTGTACTCAGCTTTCTTGTGATGTGAGATGAATAATGTTTATGTGATGAGATGAAGTAAAAGATGAATAATGTAGGCATTGTGATGAAGAGTGAGGATACTATGTAAGGATTAGACAGAAGTACTGCAATACCAAGACAGTCAGTTTGATAACCATTATGATTACCAGTGACCAACAAACAGATGGGTAGCATATTGAGTGTGAATTTCCTAAACAAAGGGATGATTCACATCCTGGGTAGAATGGTAAAAGATTTCATCATGCTATTCAGATACAAATATAATTTAAAACTTGCAAATTATTTATTTCAGGAGTTTTCCATTTAATATATTTGGACCACAGTTTACCACAAGTAACTAAAACTGCAGCAAGTGAAACTGCAGATAGGTGGAGACTACAAGTTTCAAACTTACTTCACCAGTTACAAATGAAGTACTATAATTCTTTTAGTTTTCCATGTATGTTTGTAAGGTATGAAACAAATTATCCTATGACAGGAATTAACAAATTACAGCCCATAGGCCAAATCAGGTCTGTTATTTCTTTTTGTAAATGAAGTTTTATTGGAACACAGTCACATTCAATTATATGCTGGCTGTCTCTGACTACTTTCATGCTACAATGGCAGAGTTAAATAGTTATAATAGAAGCCAGTGGCCCACACTGCCATATTACTGCTGGTCCTTTACAGAAAATTTGTTGATTCCTGTCCTACGGTATGATTTTTCCTGGCATCTCATACTCCCAGACTTTAACTCCTAAGAGATGACTTGCTAAAGATATTGACTTGACTTCTTGAATATTCTATTAACTTATTCATAAAATAGCAATAATTTTTAACAAAGAAGCTTTACCATGTATCTGCTTGCTCTGATTCTGTGTCAGCTACATATGCTGTAGTATTCACTGAAGCCACTGGCATTAGTTTTTTATTGACTGACAAACCTTGTGAAAGGCTGGGTCCCGGAGTCGTTGTCTTTAATCCTATAAATCATAAAAGTGGAAAGAAAAATATCACAACTACTAGACACGAGATGGACATTTGATCATTTAAAATTGTTAAAACTGTGCCATGCTGAGAGGATTAATTAGGTAATATTGCACCTGGTTGTCTCTAGTCAGTGCTCCCAATCATCTCACACTATCATTTCTCCAAACTTCAAACATGAAAACACAAGCGCTTTGTACTGCAGTGTAGTAATGTCTTAACAGGTTTGACCTAAGAGTCAATTTGAATTAATTACTTGCTATATGACCACTGGCTAATTTCTTAAACTCTCTGTACATTAGTTCCCTCATCTATAAAATACATATGATATCCTCTTTCTTCACAGGATTATTTTGCAAATTAAACTGTAGCAATGTATATAAAATGCTAACTTTGGTATCTGCACCTCAAAAGACAGCAGTTATTATTACTACTAATAATTATTAATGACCTACACACCTAATTAATTCCTGGTCATTAGGCCCTAAATGGTTCACTTCTTCCAAAATGTAGCTTAACACATTCCTTATCCATTTAAATTAAGATTGTCGAACACTCAGAAGGTACATGGCCCAACTGCATAGGTGCCATTGGATGGACTACAGTGTAAATGATACTCCTGCCCCCCGGTAGCAAATAATGATATGATACTGTTCTCTAACTTGTCTATTAGCCAAACTCCAATAACTCTTCATGAAATAAATATAGAAAGAAACCAGAAAGCAAATAAATGTGCACAAGAATCAGACTGAATGCTTTGGTAGCTAGGCAAAGAAGAGGCAGTGATTAGAGAGAAAAAATGAAAATATTTTTAAGGTAAAAAAAGCCAAGAAAACAATAGAGGAATGATCTTTATAATGGCAGTATCAATTTATTTATAAAAAAGAGATAAAAGGCAGAGGAATATACACTCATCCTTAATTATCCACAGATGATTGGCTCTAGCACTTACTCTCGACTCACCCCCACCCATGTATACTAAAATCCAAAATACTCAAGTCTTATATAAAATGGTATAGTACTGCATAAAACCTATACACAACTTCCTGTATACTATAAATTAACTTCTGAGGGCTGTGGCTGTGGCTCAGTGGTAGAGCGCTCGCTTAGCACGTGTGAAGTGCTGGGTTCAATCCTCAGTACCACATAAAAATAAATCAATAAAATATTGATTTTAAAGTATTGTGTCCAACTACAACTAAAAAAATATTTTAAAAAGTATGTACATGTTCAGTATAGATAAAATAGATATAATATTTTTGTTTCCCAAATATTTTTGACTGAAGAATTTTTGTTAGAATTCTCAAATGTACAACCTGGGTAAACAGAGGGCTGAATATAATAAAGGAATAACAATGATCATCTCTGAGTAACTCCACAATAGCTTTCTACTGATAACCTTACTTCTATTTTGGACCCCTGTAATCCATTCTCCACACCAGAGTGATCTGTTCCTTCTGTGTGGGATTCTATGCCAGATTCACACATAATTGCCTTTTCTCATCAATCAGGCTGCATGAAGCTCAAATGTCACATCTTCAGTGAGATCTTCTCTGACTACCTCTCTAAAACCTGTTTCCAGTCACTATCACATCACCTTGTTTTGCCTTCCTCTTTATACATGGCCCTATCTGGAATCATGTGTGTGTGTTTTTCTGCTTGTTCACTATTTGAATCTTGACCTTTAGAGTAAAAAGTTCACAGGAATAGTGCTGTTCTTTACTTTATTCACAACTAGAATCTTCAACATCTTAGAACAGTGATTAATACACAGCAGAAATACTTATTGAATGAATAAACAAATGAATACACTGTTGAGTTTTAAAGGAAAGTGAATACAGTCATACCTGGCAGGTATAACTCTAAAGTGCATATAATCTATCATCAATGTACATAATAATGTTGCTAAGAAACCAATAAGATAATGCTTTACTTACCTGTATTGGGTTGGCCCCGAGGATCACAGTAATTTTCTGTAGTCATGAAAATAACTGCCAATCCAATTTCTGCTTCAGGAATAGGTCTAAGACCTTGCCTATTAGAAAAAAAAAAAGTTTAAGCATAACAATATATTAAAACAACTTTTATTGAAATGGTGTCAAACTGAATCAAATTTTTTATCCTCCCAAAGTCATATCAGAATTTTATGGTATGAACAGACTCTGAAAATACATAGGGCACTAGCTTACTCACTGGGAAACATTATTAGGGCAGGTCCATCACCTGTTAGTAACTCAGTTAATTTCGCTTGTAAACTAAGGAGCTAGGGGAAAGAATACATATCTTAATAGTTCTAAAATTCAATAATTTTCAGAATAAAAAGAGTAATACACAGATGAAATAACATGAACTTTTTTTTAAAGAGAGAGAGAGAGAATTTTTTTTAATATTTTAATATTTATTTTTTAGTTTTCAGCAGACACAACATCTTTGTTTGTATGTGGTGCTGAGGATCGAACCTGGGCCGCACGCATGCCAGGCGAGTGCGCTACTGTTTGAGCCACATCCCCAGCCCACAACATGAACTTTTAAAAACAAATTTATGATTACTATGATTCTAAGATAAAACTTAATAGAGAAGAAGAAGAGGAGGAGGGAGAGAAGCACAAATAACTATGTGTAAGTTACATCTATACATGTGTATAAGTTTAATAAGTTAAGTCATTTTACCAAATTTATATATATTAAGATATCTTAATAAAGGAATCTTCTGACGAATTTATTTTCTTTTGTTCTGTAATATGAATGACTGATTTTATAAAACAAGCAATATTCAATCAAATTTTTAAAAAATATTTCTTTTTAGTTGTAGGTGGACACAATACCTTTATTTTATTTCTTTATATGTGGAGCTAAGGATTGAACCCAGAACCTTACACATGCTAGGCGAGCACTCTAACGGCTGAGCCATAACCCAGCCCTATTCAATAAAATTTTAAAATAATTTTTAAAATTTAAAAATTTTTAAAGCTGTACCTAAAATTTTAACAAAAAGCTACATAATGTCTTTTAATACTCATTGTAAAGACATTTTATATGGTTGTATTAGTCTAAAATACTTAACATGTTTTTTGTGTGTACCGATTCAATTATATGTGCAATCATAACAATACTACACTAAAAAAAACCAAGATTTTAAAAAGCATCATAGCCTGGCTGGGCATGGTGGTGCACTCCTGTAATCCCAGTGGCTTCGAAGGCTGAGGCAGAAGGATTCAAAGCCAGCCTCAGCAACAACAAGGTGCTAAGCAACTCAGTGAGACCTTGTCTCTAGATAAAATACAAAATAGAGCTGGGGATATGGCTCAGAAGTTGAATGCCCCTGAGTTCAATCCCCAGCAACCCTTCCCCACAAAAAAGCACCATAGCCTGGAGCAGTGGCACACACCTATAGTCTTAGCAACATGGGAGGCTAAGGCAGGAGGATACCAAGTTGAAGGCTACCCAAAGCAACTTAGCAAGAGTCTGTTTCAAAACAAAAATAAAAAGGACTAGGGATGTAGCTCAGTCCCTAGGTTCAATCCTCTGTACCAAAAATAAATAAATGAATAAATTAAAAAATTTCAAATCAAAATATCAAAATACTAGTAAAAACATATAGATATCTTTTTGATCTATGAATAGATGTTATGAACAAAACAAAAAGAGTGCTGACAATAAAAGGATATTAATTTTTACTATATTAAAATTAGATGTCTTTTCTTTTTATCCCACTGCAAAAGGTAAGTTATAAAGTGGTAACAGATTTTGCAATGCACATAAGTGAAAAAAAGAAATATAACATCAAGAAAATAGAAAAACTTGCTATAAATCAAAAAGCACACACACATGGAAACCTGTATATGTTAACTGAAGCTTTATTGTAACAATAACTATGCACAAGGCAAACTTCCTTCAATGGTGAATGATTCAAACTATGGTATTCACACCATGGAATATTACTCAGCAATAAACAAGTATGAACTATTGATACAACCTATTAATCTGAGGATTTTTGCTGAGTGAAAAAAAGCCAATCCCAAAAGATTACATGCTCTTGGTTTTCATTTAAATACATTTTATTTAAAAGACATTTTATTTATTTAAAAGTGCTATACAAGGCCCTGGGTTGGATCCTCAGCACCACATAAAAATAAATAAATATAATAAAGATATTGTGTCCAACTACAATTAAAAAAGTAAATATTAAAAGAAAAAAAAAAAAAAGACAAAGTGTTAGAAACAAGCCAGGCACTGTGGTGCATGCCTATAATTCCAGAGCCTCGGGAGGCTAAGGAAGGAGGATTGCAAGTTCAAAGCCAGTCTCAGTAAAAGTGAAGCACTAAGCAATTCACACTCTGTTTCTAAATAATATATAAAAAATAGGACTGGGGATGTGGCTCAGCAGTCGAGTGCCCGAGTTAATCCCTGGTAAACCCCCGCCCTGCCGTCGAAAAAAAAATGTTAGAAACAAAATAAATAAGTGGTGGGCATGGTTTCAGGATGAGGAATGAATAGTGGGAAAGGAGATTTGGAGGTGGATATAGTCATAAAAAGACAATATGAGGGATGGAACTATTTTGTATGCTGACCCTGGTGATGAATATAGACATACATATGATAAAATTATATAACTAAATATACACACACCAATGACTAAAACTGAGGAAAATAAAAATAGGAAAATATAAACTGAGTATAAAGAATATTGGGTAAATTTGTAGTAAAAAGAAGAACACAGGGCTGGGAGTATAGGTCAATGGTAGAGTGCTTGCCTAGCATTTTCAAAGCCCTAAACTTCACCTTCTGCACAAGAAGAAAAGGGAAGGAAAAAAACATGATTAACAGAAAACTGGACAAGAGACATAAACAGGTATTTCACAAAGCAAGAAAAACAAATGTTCTATAAATGTGTGAAGAATTAAGTATCACTGGTGATCAGAAAAACACAAATCAAAACCACAGTAAGCAATGATTATAAATCCATTCACCTGGTAAAAATGAAAACATGACAATACCAAGTATTGAGGTACTGGGGTGTGAATTAGAACAAGATATATTCCATGCTAATATAATTATGTGAAAATGAATTGAACTGTCCTGCATAACTAAAAAAAAAAACTATTTAAAAAAGCCACAATAAAACTATACATTAAAAAAAGATGATATGCATCTAGAAGGATCTCTTCTATTGTGGGTAGGAATGTAAAATGAAAAACAAAGTTCAGCATTCATATAATCCTGCAATTCTAGTCCTAGAAATGTGCATGTGCACATTGTATGTACACATAACACAGACTTTTTTTGGTATTAAGGACTGAACTCAGGGATGCTTAACCACTGAGTCACATCCTCAGCTCTTTTTTATTTTGAGACAGGGTCTTGCAAAGTTGCTCAGTGCCCTGCTAGGTTGCTGAGACTGATCTCAAACTTGTGATCCTTCTACCTCTGCCTCTAGAGTCACTAGGATTACAGACAGGAATGGGCCACCATATCTGTTGGCTAGAAATATTTTTTAAAATTTTATTCATTTGTTCTAATCAGTTATACATGAAAGTAGAATGCTATTCAATTCATTATAAACAAATGTAGCACAATTTTTCATTTCTCTGGTTGTGCACAAAGTAGGGTCATATCATTCGTGAAGTAATACATGAACCTAGGGTATTTAAAGATGCCCATCTCATTCCACCATCTTTCCTATTCCCATACCCCGTTCCCTTTGCCCAATCAAAAGTTCCTTCACTTATCCCATGCCCCTCCCGCCCCCGCCGCATTATAAGATTAGCATCCAACTAACTAACAAAAAAAACTAGAAATATTTCTAAAAGGAAATCTTGGGTCTATGGTAATGGCTAAGTGGCAGAGTGCTTGTCTAGCATGTAATATAAAATTCCTGGGTTTGACCCTCAGTTCCATGTAAAAAAATAAGCTAATAAAACAAAATTAAAAAAAAAAAAAAGAATCTGTACCAGTACCAATAGGGAAGGTACAAAAAATGATAACAGTGTTTAAAATTTTAAAAATCTGGAAACAAGGTTTCAAAACCAGATAACAAATCTGGGGGCTGAATAAATGAACTAATATATGCACAAAGTGAAACATATTCTACAATAGAAACAAATAATTTACAACATGTATCACAATACTTACAACATAACATTGAAATGAGAGAAAAAAAAAACAAAGATTACATGTAGCACAATAACCATTTTATAAAGTTAAATATAAGAGACATATACAAATCCATATTAGGAATACATTAAAAAAACTATAAAACTACACAAAAGCAAGCAGGTAAATTGAGTGTGGTGGTATATGCCTGTAATCCTAGTAATTTAGGAGGCTAAGGCAGGAGGATTGTAAGTCTGAAGGCAGTTTAACAATTTAGCAAGACTTTCTCAAAATAAAAAAAACTAAAAAGTGCCCCTAGGCCAGAACCCTAATAACATGCACACATACACCCACTCCCAAAAAGTACAAGCAGATAAATGAAGATCCCAGGATTCAGAATGATCAACTATCTAGCATGTATTATAAGTGGCAGATTTTAAAATACTTATTTCAGTATTAAAAGTAACTAATTATATAATTATTAAATCAAAAGATTTTATACTGTGTATGATTTGATGATGACAATGTATCATTTATAAATTCATCCAATTTTGTGCAAGCCTAGGAAATAGATGAGGGAAGGAGATGATAAAAAAAAAATAACTAGTAACAGGCAGAGTTCCCAAATTTCATCTAAGGTTCTCAAAAAATACAGTACATTTTTGTTGTAGTAGTAGATTGGTGTAACTTTGTTACAAAATCTACTTTTACAGTAGTTAATACATCTTCAATAAGTAAAATACTTACAGGACAGATGACTAAATTTTAACTTTTTATTTAGAAAAAAGCCAATTCCCATAATCAGAAGGACTTCTGGGAAAGGAAACGTGTCTTTTGGAGAAAGCTGGCTGTGGACTTTCCATTTTGGGACTCAACTACTTTTTGCTGGTGAAAAGAAATTTAATCAACAGACTGCCAAGTCTGGTATTTCTATTAGTTTTTGGCTTCAACAATGCTAATATTATGATTAATAAAGAGTTTAAGGAAGTCAAGTGTGGTAGTGCACACTTGTAATTCCACTTCATTGGGAGGCTGAGGTCAGCGTATCAAAAGTCTAAGGCTAGCCTGGGCAACTTGGTGAGATCCTGTCTCAAAATAAAAAATAAACAGGGTTGGAGATGTGGCCGAATAGTGGAATTAGGTTCAGTTCTCAATACCACAAAAGAAAAAAAAAGTGTATGGAAACAAACACTTGATTGTAGCTCTTTTATATTCTCCTTCCCCACTATAAACACCATTCTAAGGTATGTGACATTTTCCACCTACTTACCCATAAGAACTCATATAAGATGGATAGAAATTTTATATGCATTTTAATTGGTAATAAACATCAAGGGGCAAATACATTTCAGCTCCAATTTCAGAAAAAAAATCACTTTCTGAATGTTCACTTTGCAACATATTCTACAGAAAAACTTAATATTACTTTATTAATTTAAAGAGAAGTTTCTACAAATTGTATAGTATAAAAAGGCAAACAATCTTGAGATCAAGTTGTTATGTACACAGATATTCTATTTCTAGCATATCAAGTCACAATCAGTTCTCATGTATATTACAGGTTACATCCTTTATAATAATTCTTCTATCTGTTAAAATGAAGCACAATAAGGAAAATTACATATAAAATCTCCTCCCTGCATTTTTTCTCTTAACTAATGAAGAATAATTCTGTACCTTTGGAGCACATCCATAATTGAATGGACCCATTTTTTCTGAGAATCAGGAATTAATATCTGTGTATTCGTTATTCCTATATCAACAACACAAATTCCAGGAGCTGAAAAGAAACTATCTTCTTCTTCATTTTCTTCTGTTATCAACCTAGCTTCTCCACCTCCAAAAATGACTGCTGAACTTAATTTCTTATGCTAAAAATGAAAAGAAACATTTAAAAAAGTGATGTAACATTCGTAGTTCCTTTTTTTTTAGTACATTCTTAATATGTAAGAATTTGATTGGAGATGTGAAGTAGAATTTGTTCTACTTGCTGAATAGGCAACTTGAGGTTCCACTTTGGGAAAATTCTTGGTTCAGCAGGTGTCTCTGCAGCCCTCTTAATAATTCCCTTGCCTGTACTTCATCACATTTACCACACAGTCTAACTTACCTGCATAATTCTCTACAACATAAACTCTTGGAATCTCCATTTTGGTACACAGAAGACATTCCATGGATGTTTACCAACTGAACAAGTTAAGATATAAGTTTTCTGTCCTCTCCAGTTTATTTATATAAGCTTAACTGGTAATAAGAAATACTGTAATCATACACAGGATTACCTGGTAGGTTCTGGTGCCTGGGCATTTTTTTATTGTACTTCACAAAGCTACACTAAGCTCCCAAATGAAATGCTATTAATAACTATCATGAAAAGTATTAACGAGCCCTACTCTGTAATGTTTTCTTTGGGAAACGTTACCTGTTTGGCATTTAGAAATATAAATGTTTTCCCTTTGAAGATTTGTTTTCTCTCCTGTCGTTCTGATAGATCAATATTTTTACTTCCAATAGTTGGTTCATCAATAGGTGGGTAAAAACTGTAAAAATAATTAAAGAATACTTTATATACCACTCTGTATGTTTACTATTAAATTAGTAAATGATGTGACTATTTGATAGTAGAAAGACTCAATTTCATTAATACTATCTTAGTATTTAATAAAACAATTAAGAGTTCTATCTGGCACAAAATGACAAAACTCATCTAAATCCCTTTTTAAAAAATATGGTGAAAGGTGCCACATATTACAGCAGAATTGTCTTTATTTTCTCAAAATAAAAATAATCCAAGGTAGATAATCATAACAAGATATAAATTAAATATATATGATTCTAACAGATTACATGAATTACAAAAGGTTGAAAGTTTTGTGGCAGATCTCCTCCTATCCAAGTTCTACAAGGAAAACAAAGAAGGCACATAACAGTAGTTCGTTGCAAAAGTGAGGAACAATGACCTTGAGAAATTATGCTTTTTATAACTAGTTATAAGCAAGCCTGCTCTTTGCCCCAAGAGGGAGACATTATTTCATTTCTCAAGGTTTCTCACTATAAACATAACTTAGAAGTGGACTGTGTAAAGGGATGTCAGGGATTTATATTCTTGGCATATCTAAGAAGTTGGGGATGAATGCAAGAGACCCATGGAAAATGGGTCCACAGTGTTAACCCATTGATGTCCTAATAGTATCTTCCAAAAACAATACTTTTTTGAAATAAGGTAATATATTAAGCACTCCGTAAAAAATTAAAAGCAAGTCCTTTTCTAAGGAGTAATGTCCATATGTTCAGACATATAGAATATTTTAATAAATGTCCCTTGTTAGAATACAGATGATTAAAGTTAAATACTCCTTTTAAACAGAATCTTTTAAAAATGACTTCATCTACACTAGCATCTCGAGGATGGTTTATGAAATGAATTATCACAAATCATGTTAGGTACATGAAACTGCAACTGCTTTTTGATGATAGTGCAAAGATACAGATATAGCTGAACTAAACAGGACTGCACTTTTTCTTGGGTAAAAATATATTTTGCCTCCTAACTTAAATATAGGATTAGTAATCATGCTTTTGCAAAACTAAAGAAGCATTATTCATGTAATCAAGAGTCACTCAGGGGCTGGGGTTGTGGCTCAGTGGTAGAGCACTTGCCTAGCATGTGTGAGGCACTGGGTTCAATCCTTAGCACCACACAGAAATAGATAAATAAATATAATAAAATAAAATAAAGGTATTAAGTCCATTTACAACTAAAAATATAAAAAGTCACGTAAGTTTATTTCCTATAAACTTTGTATCATTTTTATCACTAGTTTCCTATCGTTTCTATAACTAATTAATGCTTTTAAATAAAATATTTTTTTTCTACCAGTAACTGAGTACCGAGAAATTTTCAACAAATGTATCAAAATAGATCCAGATAGGTGTAGAAATCTATTAAGGCAAATGATAGGCATTTTAAAATATTAAGAACCTGATCATCAATGCTCATCATCAAATATGGGCTAATATAATAGACTTTCCTGGTTAACAGTGAATTAGGCATTATTCAATCTTATAGTACCTAAAAATTCTGCCATATAGACTGTAATCTACTGACATGCATTTTTAAGTAAAGAAGTTCTTGTGCTATTAAATTGACTAACTATACAATCCGAAAAATAAAAAGCCTAATATCTTCCTTCTCAAGGACAATATATATTACTTCTATGCATCACTAACATAATAGAGGGAACAAATCTTCTAGACTGATGGTTCACAAACTTGACACAGCATCAAACTAATAATAAAATAAAGCTTTTATGAATCTTCCCATATATTGTTTCAATTAGCAACATGAACCATTTTTTTAAACAAGGTGACATTCTCAGACTTTAAATACTGTATACTCTTACTAATACTTTTAAGAACTCAGCTGGACAATTATGAGTCTCATTTTTGAAATGAGATAACTGAAGCTCAGAAAAAACAAGCTCTATGCTCAAGGCCATAGCTCTGCTACTATTTTTTTTCTGTGCTACATGGCTCCTGAAGACGGTTGCTGCATCATGCATTTTCAGGGGTTCCTCTTGCATGATGGAACATATGCTCTTCTGACCAAATCTCAAGGCCATGTACTCTCCTTCCATTTTTTTCTTTAAGTAATTAGTATTTATTTAATGTTTGTTTTATGAACATAAGAAACAACCAACAAGGAATTTGAGGAATCCTTTCTTTATAAGCTAACAACAACAACAACAACAAAAACTGCCATTAGCAATACTGAATTATAACAGCAACTATTACATACTAAAATAGTCATCAAACAGGGTATTAGTCTAAATAAAATCAGTGCCATCTATTTTATATGTCCTATCTTGTTATATTATATTTGAAATACATAATGTACCTTTCAATTTGTGGAGGCTGTTTCTTGGACTGAACTGCTTTCAGAAATTCAGTAAAATATTCTGGCTTTACAATTGGACGTCCACAGATGAGTGCACATATTGTCTAAAATGAAGAAAATATACATAAATATATATGATCATACATCAACTTTTTAAAAAAAATAAAATGTTTTAAGTTATAAACTAGAAAGAGACTGTTCTATATTGTTTTTCCTTTAGAGTCCTAAATTTATAAAGGAAGCACAATTTATAAAATGTATTTGGTTATTGCTTAGTTTTAGAATACAAGTTACTAAAAAAAATCAACCATTCACAAATTTAATTTAATAATTGCTTTTGAGGGGGTGGTGGTGGGACATGTAACAAAATATCAATCAATTTAAAACATATTCCAATTTTAAAAACATTAAAATGTGAAAAGCATATTGTAGACCTAAAAAAATGCATCTGCTGCAGAGGAGACTATTAAGAAATAAATAAGCCTCAAATCAGATACAGTCACAAACTCTGAAAAGATTTGAAACTATTACTATGAGCAATGGAAATGAAAATGCAGAAGACTGGGCATAAATCTATGAAATAATACAGCAAGAGTTTATAAGGATGTTATTAATAACAAAGGGTCTGGCCTAAACAGGGACAAGCAGATATAGGGCACATCTCAAGAACAGAATCTGAGATACTAACCTCCAATATGAATGAAATAAATAACTTATAGCATGAAGTAGTAATGTGCAATTCAATACTGGATTGAGTAAACCATAACTCATGTGACTCCTGGAAAATTATTTAATTGTTCCATATCTCAATTTGTACTTCTAGGTTCTCTTTTGGTTCTAACATTCTATAATTTTAACAATATAAGTTAATTTGCATTTTGGAAAATTTTTCAAAAAACAATACAATGACCATGTTTTCTTTTTTGGCATATGATTAATCAGAAATATGGAAAAAGATAAAAAATATTGAAAAAAGTCATGTTAATGTCTAATAGAGAAAGATTCACTATTCAGTTCTGTCATGGAGTCAGTATAGTTTCTCAAGATAATCTAACTGCCTTTGATCTTGCTTTACACCTACCACACAAGTGTATGATTGTTTACTCCATTTCCTTAAGTACCTTTACTATCTTAATGGGGATTTCCTGGAGCCCATACTCAAATATTCCAATCACAGTAACAGTATATTCCTACTATAAATTAATAGACATTCTGATTTATGAATCTACCATCTGTGGGTTTATTTGTATAAATTAGTACTACGGAGGCTATTCATGTGCTGAATATATGAATCAATTTCATAAACTTGCAACAATGAAAAATTCTTGATGAGAGGTATCCCCAATCAAGGTACAAGTTTAACTTGAGGTTTGATCTAAGCTGCAAGCCTATGACACTTCTTTAGAGTAATGCTTATATTTAATTGTATTAATTATATTGAACATTAAAATATTTTTGAATCATCTCTATATAGATATTAACCTAAAACAATCCCACATATCTATAGTTAACCTGTTTAAAAGGAGACGAATCACCTCCCAATGTCATTCTTCAATTAGATTTGGACATAAACAAATCTGAGGAAGATGCAAAATCTGAAAACATACCAAAATATATTACTGTTTAACATATAATCAGCATCTTCTAAAGGTACACATCTACATATCTTTAGGTTGTGAAGATTTATTAATGTAAAACTACATAAAAACTTAAAAAGTCTTTGTGATTAGGGCCTTAAATCAAATAAATACTAAAATACTAAGAGAGCTTCAAATCACAAAATGATATCAGAAACTGGAGGAAGACAACTTCACAGAAGAGACATGGCATGCTAATTTTGAAAACAAGCCTCTTTGCTTTTAGACAGCACAAATTATGAACTCCATTAAACTTCATGGTGAAAGGATAACACAAATCCTTTTGAAAATGCTAAATCAAAATCTGAAATCTAATTTTATGTGCTTCTGCTTGTCTCAGATAATAAACAGGTTATCCAAAAAGCCATGCGAACCTAAATAAAGCCAGGGAGTGGAAATATACAAATCTATGACTAAGAGATATGATAGTTTCAAAGCAAATCTTTTTCAAAGTCTGTGTATAGGTACAGGCTAGATGTGGTGGCGCAAGCCTATAATCCCAGCAGTTTGGGAGGTTAAGGCAGGAGGATCACAAGTTCAAAAGCCAACCTTAGCAACTTAAGCAAGGCTCTAAGCAACTTAGCAAGACCCCGTCTGAAAAAAAAAAAAAAAAAGGGTGGGTAATGTGGCTCAGGGATAAAGTGATTCTGGGTTCAATCCCTGGTACTGAGAAAAAAACCAAAAATCTTAGTAGGTGAGTAAGCTTAGGTTTATAGAACTTAAAAAATTTTAACACCTACTTTAATGGTAACTTTAACTGACATCATAACAAGGTGAGTACATTCTTCTGTCCAGTTGTTTACAGTAAGTCCTCCAAGTTGCAATATAGCTTGATTTAAAGCAGTTTTCCCAGAGACATCTAAACAAGAAGAGCATGCAACCAAAGGCTCATATTCTACTCTGTAAGTGAAAATAAGTTATAAAAGTTCTATTATTATAGTTATAGACATGGCAATTTTTAGAAATTTAAACCTTTAAGCTCACATCACATTTTTATGTATCATTAAACTTTATAACCTATGAAATTATCATTTCCTAAGTCTTGAGTTCCAGTAAAGATAAAATGATCAAAGTTAACATTATACTTTCACCTATGTCAAGCAACTGAACTCCCATTATGGTTCTCAGAGCCTGCACAAACTGCCATTCACTTTTATCACTACCTATGATTGACAAATGTATAACCACAAGGGTTCACTACTGTGCTAGGAACTTAATTATATTGATACCCTGTTTTCAATTCATTATCCATAAATACTCTTATCTTTTAGAACTATTTGATATAAAATAAAACTGTTCATTTTAATGTCAAATTTAAAACTTCTCACCTGAATTTACTTTCAAATACTCCAAAGGTAACCCTATCTCCTGTCTTCAAAGTTTGAGAAAGGCCATTCTGCATTTTTTCCTCATTAACAAAGGTACCATACTTAGAATTATCTTTTATCGTTAATGTAGGGATTTCATTTATTTGACTCTGAAAAAAAAATCAACAAATAATTTATAGTCTTTTACCACTCAGAAATTCAATTTTCAAGGAAAGGATTTCAAAAGATGAATAACTTTTTGAACAAGCAAAAGCTAAGTACACAATATAATTTAAGGTTGCCTTCAGGAATAATCACTGAAGTGGCAATTAATAATTTCTTAAGAAAATTTCTTAAACCCAGATTACTGCTTTTATAACATATATTGGCTTTTTTTAAAATCAGTGCAATTATATTAATAATCCTATGTTATAGGATTTTCCTGACTCTGATTTCACACATTTTAGAAGTTTTTGTTTTGGGACAGTTTGTTTCACATATAATATGTCAGTTTCATTTCCAAAAAATTCTTTTTTCCTTTTTAAATGATCAAAATCACATTGTAAAAACTGGTCCAATAAGAATAAAGAGTTAAAAGCTAGAGTTTCTTACTTATAGTAATAATTTACTTTTTCTGTAGGAATTTCAATAATGTTTCTCTATACCTAAAAGAACAGACACAAAACCAAAATATCACAAAATGACCCAGTTTTTGCTATATGTGGTCACTGCTCAAAATAATGGATTGCCTTTTTTTAGTACCACAAACATTATTGTGAGCACAGGTATTTATATACATTTCTCTTTTCATACATTTGTATCCATGGTTGTGATTAAATAAATCACAAGCGATTTGTGTTATTAAAATAAATCATCAAGGGGCTGGGGTTGTGGCTCAGTGGTACAGGCTTACCTAGCATGTATGAAACATTGGGTTTGATCCTCAGCACCATACAAAAATAAATAAAATAAAGGTATTGTGTCCATCTACAACTAAAAATATTTAAAATAATTAAATAAATAAATCACCAAAGCTATTCAAAGGAGCTGTGTGGCATACTTGAGAATTATCTTTCCTTGTACAATAAAATGATTTTTACTGTGAAATTTTGTTTTATAAGGGAAATGCTTGTGTCCATAGGGAGAGTCATGAAGGTCCAATCATTCACTGTTCTATTCCTAGACTTGGTATGATGACTGATACACATTACCCACTCAATAAATGTGCTGTAATTTGGATCTGGAGTGCCTCCCAAAGGTCTATGTGTTCAAGGCTCAGTTATCAGCCTATGGTTCCACTGGGAGGTGGTGGGATCTTTAAAGATGAGCCTAATGAAAGGAAGTATGTCCCTGAAGAGGACGTTGGAACCTTGGCTCTTGCTCTTTGTGCTTCCAGGCTGCCATGGAAGTGAGTAGTTACCTCCACCAAGAACTCCTACCATAATGTACTATGAGGTAATGGGTCCATGGCAATATGGCAAAGCAACCATGGACTCAAACTATGAGCCAAAATAAAACTTCTTCTCTTTAGATTTCATCACAGTGATAAAAAGCTAACACAAAATGTTAAGAAAATAAATACAAACATGCTCTACTTCCTCTGAGTTTCTAAATCACTAAGAGTAAGTTACTAACACAGAAACTTCAAACACAAATATCACTGGTACCACTGCCAACTATAAGGATTTTTTTTTTTTTTTTTGTAGTATTGCTAATTAAATGCAATGTTAGCCAAGTGGTCTGCCACAGGGCAATACCCCCATCCCAAATTATAAGTACTTAATTTTGTTAACATTAAGATAAAAATCCAGGGGCTGGGGTGTGGCTCAGTGGTAAAGCGCTTGCCTAGTACACGTGAGGCACTGGGTTCAGTTCTCAGCACTTCATATAAATAAATAAAAGTCCATCAACAACTTAAAAAAATCCAGTTCTATGAAAACAAAAGGTCCAATGAACTTTCATATGCACCAAGATAATCTGTAATGATTTCAGTTGCCTTACTTCAAACTAGTGAAATAAAATTAGTAACATACCAGATTGGTTAGAGAAAAGTTAGCTGTTAACACAGCATGATTTCGACTGATTGACTGATCCTCTTCAATTAAAATGGCACAGTTTTTCCTTCCAACAATGTACTCAATACCAGTCAAAAGTCTGCATGGTTCTCCTAAGCCAAAAAAAAAAAAAGAAAAAAAAAAAGTAAATTGAAGACACATGTGTAAATACACATACATACATATATGTGTGTACAGAAAATGTGATGTCAAATATTTAAATAAAACTTTTGATGTTTAAATGTTAATCAACTTTGTTTATATCAAACTTGTGTTTTCTAATAAAGCCCCATAAAGGACAAAAAATAATTCCTAAACAGATGAAAGGCTATATCATTTTTCTAAAGGGAAAACAATATTGAAAGAAGTAAATGTTCCCCCTAATTAACTTATACATTTAATGTATTACCAAGAAATCATAATATTGTGTTTGGAACTCAATTACATAGATTCAAAAATTTATTAGGAAAGTATGTTTAAAAGTAGCCAAGAAAAATTTGAATAGTATTACAGGAACTTGCCCTATCAGACGGCAATGTATGCCATAAAGCCATAGTAATTAAAAGGTATGAAAGTTACAATACAGCTATACAACTCCTGGTAAAGTCAGCATGCCCTGCATACCCATGTTCACTGTGGCACTGTTCACAATAGCCAAAATAGGGAATCAGCCTAGGTGCCCATCAAGAAATGGATAAAAAGAAAATACAGTATATATACAAAATGAAATTCATTCAGCCGTAAAAGAATGAAATGTTATTTGCAGGAAAATGGATAGAAATGGAGGTTATCAGCCAGACACAGAAAGATTAAGTACTACATGTTTTCTCTGATATGTAGAAACTGGGCGGGGCTGGGAGAGAAAGAAGGAAAGAAAGAAAAGACCTGAAAATAGTAAATGGACTGTCAAGAAAGGAGAAGAAAATAGGAGGGTATTAAAGAAGGTTGACAAAGCATCACATGTGTAGCCAGGTGTGGTGTACACCTGTAATCCCAGCAACTCAGGATGTTGAGGCAGAAGGATCACAAGTTTGAGGCCCATCTGGGCAACTTAGTGAATTAAAAAAAAATAAGAAGAAAATAAAAAGGGTTGGGAATGTAGCTCAGTGGTAAAGTGAGTTCTCTTCCTAGTACAATTAAAAAAAAAAAGATAATGCACATATGGAAATGCCACAGTGAAACCCATTAATTTGTACAATTAATAAAACTAAATGATTAGAAAAAGCCTTCAAACATAAACAGGTACATAAAAGGTCTGAAATGGATTAGGAGTAAATAATATAGATCAAGGCAATAAATTCTGGATGGGATTCAAGTGCAGATTTGGGGGAATTCTGTTTTTATGTTAAACATAGCATCAATAGGAAATGATTATTAGTTTTAAAAACACATTGTAAATCACACATTGTTGGAGTAACAGTATGTTGGGGATTTGTGAAATTTAGCCTGGGAGCAGGGGATTCCATTACCACAATTGTAGGATGATTAGAGCAGTTATATTAGACAAGTTGGAAAGGAGCCCAGGAAAGCCCTGAACTCCATTCTGGAAAGCAGTTTGGACTACATGTCCTGTTAATCAGATTCTTAACCTGGATAGTTTCAAGGAAAAACCTTTGTTGTTTACCACACAACACAAACTGGATTAGGGAATTGATCTATAGCTTGCATCAGATTATGATAATAGTTCATGACACTCCACTACAACCTAACCTGAGTATCAGTCAATCAGACTGCCTGTCAACTGATCAGACCATGGTTACTTATCAGGCAAATGCTGAGGTGGAACCAATCAAGCTGTTTTGTATGGCTTCCTTTCCTGTCCATAAACGTTGCCTGGCCAAGAGGCTGAACGAAACGCTCTGAACATCTACTCATTTAAGGTTATGCTTGATCCACAAATCCTTATTTCTTCAAACTCTGCTCAACTTAATTTGTTCCAAGTTTATTTCTTTCAGCAATGCTAGGGTCTGGCATAGGCTAGGAAAGCATCCTATCACTTTGAGACAAGGTCTCCCTGCACTGCCCAGACTGAATTCAAACTTGGCAATCTTCCTTGCCTTGGCCTCCAAGTAGGTGGGAGGGATTACATGGATGCACTATAGGCCCTGGCGGTCTCTTAAGTTTTTCTTATAACACACCTACAGGAGACCTGAGAACCAGTCAGATTTTTTTTTTTTAAATATTTATTTTTTTAGGTGTAGTTGGACACAACGTCTTTTATTTATTTTTATGTGGTGCTGAGGATCGAACCCAGGGCCGCCTCCTACGTGCTGGGCAAGTGTTCTACTGCTGAGCTACAACCCCAGTCCCCCAGTCAAGTTTCTTTAAATGAACATAATCATAACTTGTCCACAAACACAAAATTTGTGGACAAATCGCAGTACTCCAAGCCACAGGGATGCCCTCTTCTATGTATTTTTGTTCTAGTTATCTTCACATTCCCAGACATTATCAATTTAGCCTCTTCATTGATTTTTTTTTCCAATCACAATGTAAACTTTCCGAAGACAAGACCCAATTATAGGTACTTGCTTAACTTTCTATCAACGAATAACAACACACAGGAGGCAACCAGTAACTTATGAGGAAAAAATCTCTACTGCTAGAAGTTCAGGAAAGGGGTTGGGGAATCAACTTTTCCCACTGTACAGCTATTTTGGGGGAAAGGTCTGAAACAAATCTGAAAGCATGTTTTCCTGTGTGCCACGTGGTTCTTCAAAAAAGAAAAAAAAGAAACGCTTTGCCCCAGACAGATCGCTTCCTTGTCATCCTGTGGTCTGGCTTTGTTAACTTCCTGGTGATCTCTTCCTAAAAGCCTACGACCAGGTGTCCCAAAAGGAAGGCGTCCGGGGCTCGCTCCATCAGGGCGCGTGAGCAGGTGCTGGTTCCCGTCTGGTGTGGACTGAATCGCCGCACCGTCCCGGAAGAAAATGCGGCGTCCTCACGCAAACTTCCGACTTTCGCATCCCGCTTTCACAGAATCCCAGGGCTGGCACAGAGGCCGCGCCGGAAGGCAGTGAGAGCGGACCGGAAGCGTCGCTCCGCACACTCCACGCAGCAGCTGCTCCCGGGAAAGCCGGGTCTCTATCTTTCCCTTCCACCCTTACCTCGGACCGGGCCCGCAGCGGGAAGGAGCTTCCACATGGGTCCGGCTCCTCAGGACTGGAGTTGACCACCGGCTGCCTCGCAGCGGATAGCGGATGTGCACGCGATCACAGCATGGGCAATGCGCGGGAACCCTAGGACGTGCGCGCTCCCGGCAGTCGCGCAAGCCCTGTTGGAAACCGAGGGATGAGGCGGGAATGCTATTGAGCGCTAGGGCGCCACCTGGTGGTAAGGAGCAACGCAGTATGAACTGAAAGGTGTTGCATTAAGAGAATGAAAGCCGGGTTTTATTTTAAGGTGTTCATAAAATATAAGATTTTTTTTTTCTGATTGTGAAAGGAAATAATTTTTAAAATTAGCCCTAAAGCAATGTGATGAAGTCTTCTGATCAAATACGCTAACTGATCGTTTAGTTCCTTGCATTTGCAATGTCTTAAATTTCGGTTGTTACTTAGATCAATAATGATGAAGGTAAGGATTTTACCTGAAAGGCAACTCATTACATTAAATATTTTTTAAAGTTTAAATCAATTCTCCATTTTATCAGGTTCCACTTTCATCTAATCCCATTCTAAGTGCTGAGCAGACTACATTTCCAACTGTTCTTTTACTGGCCCATCATTCCCTAAGAGGATACCATTCACCTCTTGCACATTGCCAAATAAACATCTGAGATCACATTTTTGATCATGTAATTTCTGGTTGACAAAAGCGGACTGTAACAGAAAATAAAAACATGCCACTTTAAAAGCTTAGCTTACCAGTCTTTGTTACCAACATAGATGCAAAAATCCTAATACAAGATTAGTAAATTGAATCAAGTGGTATTATAAAAAGAATAACCACACCCAGGTGGTCTATATTCCAGAAACAGAAGGGTGGATTAACACTGGAGGAAAAAAAAAAATCAGCATAATTCACCAGAATAAATTCTTTAAAAAGGAGAAAATTTTCTGCATCATTTTAGTAGATGCAGAAAAAGCATTTGATAAAATTCAATACTCATTCATGACAAAAGCTCACTGAAAAATAGGAATAGAAGGATCATTCTTGACCTGATAAAAGACATCTACAAAAAAATTACAGCTTACATTATACTTAAGATAAATTATTGATCATTTTCCCTTGACATCAGGAATGAAATAAGAATCTATCTGTTCTATTCTTATTTCCTTTTTCTTGCTACTCGGAATTGAACTCAGGATTTTTTTGAAAAGTGCGCAGTAACACTTGTTGTATAGTTCAGCCTAAATTCACTTGGTAATTGGGATAACGGTCTGTGGTAGCTAATTGATTTGATCCAAAGGAAAAATAAACTTCTCCTAGCTTAATGATAGGAGATAGGTTTGCTGTTTGGAGTCAGAACAGTCAAATATTAGGTTCCTATCTTCAAGGTCTTCCTTGAGAATTCTTCCATGTGGATTATATTTCAAAGGGATGGCTTTCATGTCCTTGAGAAAGACATTGCTGGGTTGTAAAGGTAGCAAGAGGTTGTGGTAGAACTTTTAGGAGGTGGGGACTAGTGAGAGGAAGTTAGGTCATTGGGAGCATGCCTTGAAAGGGATATTGGGACTCTGGAATTTTCCTTTCTCTCTCTTTTACTTCCTGGATGCTATGAGGTAAATAGACCTCCTCAACCATGTGCTTCCTCTGTGATATACCATGCCACTACAGGCCCAAAGGAACAGGGCCAAGTGACCATGATCTGAAACCAAACCAAGCCTTTGCTCCTTATAAATTGTTTATCTCAGGTATTTCGTCACAGTGATGGAAAGCTGAATAATACAACCTGTCATTGTAAATTCTTTATCTTTGAAATGTATATAAAATCTTTCTTTAAAAAGGCTAAGTAAGCCTCTTGCTAGCTTTTGGTCAATGCCTTGGTAAAAGCATTATTGCCTCTTAATTACTCTTAATTACAAACCTGATATACAGTACCCAAAATCAGTTTACAAAAATGTATTTGAGCAAAGTCACAACTTTTCTGGCCCACTCTTCCCCTGGGAAGGTTCCCTTCCTTATTTTTTTCCCCATGAGATAGTATATTTTCTTGGTAATGATCTTGTTAAATTTGCTTAATAGTTACAGCCTGTTATTCCATAAAAAAGAAACATTATTATAATAATGATGTCAGAGTTTCTCCTGTAGTTTTTGATTAACAATGGTCCACTCTTTATGTGCATAATAGTGTTTACTGGTTGTTGATGTGCTGGGCTCTGTTCTAAGTGCTTTAAGTACATTATCTCATCTATACCCAGCTACAACTTTGTGAATTCTTAATATCTACATTTCACAGATAAGGAACTCAGGTTTATAACCTGTTAAAACATTACACATCTAGCAAGACATATAGCTCACTTTGAACCTCAGTAGTTGATCAAGTCTACACTCCACCTGAGAGCAAGGGTGCTAGAGCCAGACAGAGTTGGGCTCAGATTCCATCTGATTCCATAAGTTGAAAAATTTACCTAACTGCTCTCTACCTCAGTTTCCCAAATGTTGATAATAGTAGTGTACACTTCATGAATGCTTATGAGGATTAGTGAAATACATTTATAGGATGTTGAACAGTCTGACATCCAAAACAATGTTGAGAAATATTAGCTTCTATGAGTAATAAAACCTTTCCTCAGCGGCTGCCAAGGTGCCTGGTTCTTCGGATGAAGCTAAGGCCGCATTGGGGGGAGGCCTTCATTTCATTTGGCGATTGACACCATGCCTCACAGCACCATGGCCTCGGTCTCTGAGCTGGCCTGCATCTACTCTGTTCTCTTCCTGCACAACAACAAGGTGACTGTCATGGAGGATAAAACAATGTCCTCATTAAAGCAGCTGGTGTAAATGTTGGACATTTTTGGCCTGGTTTGTTTGCAAAGGCCCAGGCCAATGTCAACATTAGCAACTTAGGGGCTGGTGGGCCTACTCCAGCAGCTGATGCAGCACCAGCAGGACGTCCTACTCCCTCCACCAGGGCTACTCCAGCTGAGAAGAAAATGGCAGCAAAGAAAGAAGAATCTGAAGAATCTGCTGAAGACAGATAGTCAAGACATTTTTGACTTAATTCTTGTAACATGTTCAATAAAAAGCTGAACTTTGCTGATAAAAAAATAACACAAAAACAAAAACAAAAAACCCCAAACCCAAGCACTGACATTAGTTAGATCCCATGGCTCCTAAAGGACAAAATTTGTTGCTTCTGGAATGGCATTTCTCTTTCATGTCTCTAGTCTATTCCTTACTAGCTCCTATGGCTGCTACAAGTTTTTCTCTAAGTTATTTTTATGGTCCATGTTTAGGAAATGGCAATAGTATCAGTACTTAGTCATTGGATAAATGTTTGTTGAAGGGTCACTATTGTGCTGAATCTGGGAGATAAAAGAATGGTAAATTAAAGCTCCCCCCTTCTGAAAATCCCCCAAATTTAATTAGTAATACCCTGCTGTCTACTGGAAGCCTTACCAATAACATGAACAGTCAATTAGCACATACTTTGTATGATTATGTTATAGTCAACAAAAAACATGAGAAGAGATCACTTTTTACTGCAATGTGAACTGCAGATCAACTAAAAGATGGTGACACCCAAGCTCACAGAAATAGCAAAAGGAAGTGGCTATAAAATTTTCAAAGTAATGTAATATGTACTACAGTTAATTTTATGCAGCTGTGATTTCAAACTGAATCTTTACTGGTTTTTCATTTCTGTTGACTACAAATGGCACCATGTATGGTTCATGTTTGCACGCCTATTTTAACAAATTTTAACTTTAAAAATAGAATTGTGAGAGGGGTGGGAGGGGAAAGGAGGGGGCAGGGGGGGATGGTTGAATGTGATGATCATTATTATCCAAAGTACATGTATGAGGACACGAATTTGTTTGAGTATACTATGTATACAACCAGAGAAATAAAAAAATTGAACTCTATATATGTAATAAAGAGTTGTAATACATTCTACTGTTTTATATAAATAAAAAATATATAAATAAAAATAGATTCGTGCATATTTTATTATAGTACATGATAAAAAGGACTTAGCTACGTGTATTTTATGCATTCATGATATATGTAACTTTACATTTTTTCAGTATTTCTATGCTCCATAGTTTGTGAAGCCCCACCCCCCCATATGTTCCAGGTCTCAAAAATAGGGAAAAAAATTTGCGGGGGGGGGGCGAGTAAACGGATTTGGTCAGTTCAAACCCCTGTTCTTCCAGGGTTGATCTTTGCATTTTTAGTTGTGTACCAGTTCCTTTGGTCCGGGAGGTCCAAGTAAGGCTGCATTTCGGCGATAGGCGGCGGTGTGTCCTGCAAGGTTGCAGCCGCTTCTCCCTAGGAAAAGGAAGCCTTGTTTTAAATCTGAGTTACTATTCTGCTGCTACTATTGTTACCGCTGTTGACTGGTGACGAGTTCTTGCTTCCCCAATGTTGAAGAATAACACCAAAGAAGCACGCCAAGGCAAGGTCAGAGTAGAAATTAGAAGTTTATTAAAGGACAGCGGAAAAGACTTCTCCCGGAGGAAGAAGGGGACCCAAGAGGTGGAATCCATGGAAGGGATGTTGTCTCCCCTTTTTATAGTTCTTTCAGTGATGGAATGTAGGTGGGAAGGCCCCAGGGGTGGGACACAGGTGGGCCAAAGAAGTAATCTGGTCAGGAAGGACTTCTGAGTCAGCACCTTTTTGCTGGGGGCTGTTCATTAACATTTCTTTGAGGTGGACTTTGGCCTAGGGCCTTTTCGGGACTTCCATGAGTTGTCCTGTGTTTTCCCTGAGTCATTCTCCGCATGGTCTCCATTTTAGATTTCACTCGGCATTAGACCCGATTTATCTAACTACACTGACTACCTAACTTTAAATCTGGCTTCACTATGTGAGTTAGCGCGACCTCCACGACGAACTTAAACATGCACTTAAGGAATAGACTTAAATTACCCAGAAGGGTGTTGGCACTGGGTGGGCAACGGGGGTGTGTCGCGCGTTTGTGCAATTTTGCAAACCCTCGTATGGCGCCGGGGTCCGTCCACCCACAACAGGGGCGCCAAAACCGCTATTCCCGCTGGACAAAACGCTCTGGGTCCAGGCGGCGGGGAGAAAGTGTCCCGGAGGCCCCGAGATCCTGTCCTCAGGGACCGCGGGCCTCCGCCCCGGCCCAGCCCCCGGAA